TTTTTTTTTGTTCATATTCAAATAAAAAAAAGAAACGAATGTTTTCCTATCAGTGTTTGTATATGTATTACCCATCGTATAATATTTCAGCCCCTCCCGGCTATGGTGAAGATTATGGTACACTAAGTCGTATGTATGCATCATATGGTTTAAATGATGATGATTATCATTCTCGACGACGATCACCTTCGATAGATACAGAATTTCGAGGTATGATTTTTAACCCTTATCTTTGCTTTGCTTTGCACTGTTGTTATTGTTTTTTCTTCTTTATATTATTTTTTTGTTGTTGTAATATATTAAATTAATTATAGAACAACGTTGGCGTGATCCTGATTTACAAGAAGTTATTGAATATCTTACTCATACAAGTGATGTTATTAAAGAGAATGCAGCTGCTTATTTACAACATTTATGTTTTAATGATGATAATATTAAATCTAAAACAAGATCATTAAATGGTATTGCTTATTTAGTTGCTTTACTTCAACATGAAAAACCTGAAATACAAAAAAATGCTTGTGGAGCTTTAAGAAATTTATGTTATGGAAAACGAAATGATGAAAATAAGGTTTGCATAAGAATAAAAAAACAAAACATTTTTTTATTTTGCTTTTCTTTTTTTTAAATTAGATTGAACTTAAAAATCGTGGTGGTATACCAGCATTAATTCATCTTTTACGTCGAACACCCTATGAAGATGTTCGAGAATCAGTTACAGCTGTTCTTTGGAATGCATCATCATCACCACAATTAAAAGGACAAATACTTGATGAAGGTTTACATGTACTTGTTAAAAATATAATTATACCATTTTCGGGTTGGGATGCTGATGTTAATCGACGTTTAAATCCACAAGGAAAATTTCCAGCTGTATTTAAAAATGCTACAGGAATACTTCGGTAAGTTTAAACAAAAATATGTAAAAGAGATTTCGAGTATAAAGTTTTTTTTTTTCTTTGACAAATGTTAAAAGCTAGCTTTTGTATATCTTGTAAAGATAAATATTTTATATATTGAATAATAAAATCTAATTCTATATAAGAATCTTTGATTTACTAGATTAGATTTCGTCATAAAATACTTACTAAAAGATCCTCTTATCTTAAATTGAGTTAATACATAAGAATAGAATGTCGTTAACCTTGATGAGTCGTCGATTAGTTAAATAGACGGATACAAGGTCATATACAATCTTATAAAGAATTTCATATGAAGATTTGATATAAGTCATTATTATTTAACTCAAATGATGATTAAGATTATTGAATTATATCAACACTTCTGTACATAAAAAACGATATCAATGTTGTTATGACTCATGTATTCTAAACAGATGATGCTGAGACTGAGATCAATTTTTTTTTTGACCGGCAGAATCAAAACTGATTGATCTCGCTCATGTCTACTCTAAATGATTAATCACTTTTGAGTCGATACTGGAGTTGCGGATTCACATTTTTGTAAACCCGCAGCTTCAACGATAAGAAAGTAAACAATAAGAAGTAATTGTACATTGACTTTTTTTCGAGAGATTAGCCAATAAATAGCTAAAACCTTAATCCTTTACTAATTTATGTACACAGAGTGTCAAATATTGGTGGAAAAAAGCTTGGGTTTGGATCCGACTAGATCCGAGTCTACAAAAACGTGGACCAGTAGCTTCCTAGAATCGAGACTATCTAATGAGTTATAAATACTTTGAAAAAAAAAAGTTCAAGTACTTAGCGAGATAATGCATTTTTTAACTCAATGCTGTGAACTCTCCTCGAGAACACTAGATAAACTAATTTTCAAACACAAACATCGGATCTGCTGATGTGTATGAAAGAGCTTTTATCATAGTCGTATCTTAGGATAAAAACAACGAAAAGATCTGAAACTTTAATAATAAAAGATCATGATATTGATTTAAACAAATATACATAAATTCTTATTTGAAAGCGATTAATCAGTTAAAAGACTTCCTTCATTAGCAATAACTCTTTATGTAGATAATATATCAAATTAGAAAATGGTTGTAAAAGTTCAAGGTTTTTTTCTTTTTTTCAATTCTTAATATTACATAAAGTTCATTTAATGACATTCTAAATCAAATTTGTTCTTTTTTGTTTGCATTAAAGTAATTGTTCATCAGCTGATTATGATGGTCGACGTAAAATGCGTGATTGTGATGGTTTTATTCCATCACTTCTTCATGCTGTAAATTCTTCACTTCAATCATTAAATGAAATTGATAATAAATCAATAGAAAATTGTATGTGTATATTACGTAATTTATCATATAAATTACAAGAAGTTGTTGATCGTGATTATGATCGAAATTATCCAGCTATGGCAGCTGCATCAACATGGAGTATGACACCATCACAATATACAAATGAACAAGAAAAAAGTAAAATTGGTTGTATGGGTTCAAAACAAAAAAAAACAAAACAATTATATGATCAAACAGGATTAAATACAAATACAATTCATGCTATTATGCCACCACGTGAAGGTCGACCTGTTGAAATGCTTTGGCAAACAGATGTTATTAGTACTTATGTACATCTTTTACGACATAGTAGTAATCCTGATACACTTGAAGCAACAGCTGGATGTATTCAAAATTTAAGTATGTATTATATGAAAAAAAAAAAAAAAGAACAATAAAATAATTTAATTCATGTATATATGTATATTTTTTCAGCTGCTTGCTATTGGAAACCATCAATGGATATACGTGCTGAAGTTCGAAAAGCTCGTGGTCTATCAGAATTAGTTGATTTATTACGTGTTGATGAAAGTGATGCTGTTGTTAATGCATCAGCAATAGCTTTAAGAAATTTAGCAATTGATCCTAAAAATCGTGATGTACTTGGTGGTTGGGCTATAAAAGAACTTGTTGCTGTTTTACCTGATCCATCTGAACAAGCAACAAGTCGACGTCGTCATACAGATGAAACACTTACATCAGTACTTGCTGCACTTAATGAAATTATTCGTACAAATGATACAAATGCAAAAATTTTATTTCAAGAAGGTGGTGTAACAAAAATGACCGGTATAATGAATGCAAAAGGACATATATATAATGTTAAAGTTATTAAATATACAGCACATGTACTTAATACAATGTATAAACATCGTTCATTACATGAATTATATAAACAACATGGTTATAAAGAAAGTGATTTTATACATCATAGATTATTAAATTCAAAATCATTAACATCAAGTCCACAATCAACATTACATAGACCGAGAGGTGATATGGGACAACCAACACATTTTACATCTAAAGGAAAACAAATAACTCGTCCACAAAGTAAAATATATATTAATATGTAAGAATTAATGTATATTTTATTTTTTTTTAAGGAGGAGAAGAATATCGCATGCAAAAATTAAATCAAAGTATGGATAATCTACAAAGAACATATGGAAATGGAGTAAGTAGAAAGACAAAAACAAAAAAAAAATTATGCTATGGATCGAAATCGGACAACTTTTTTTTATGGCCCGAAAGAAACTTTGTTTACAAAGATTTTTTTTTCCTCAATAGACAGCTATTCCATATTTTTCGACTTTGTGATGACCTGAGAGAAGGGTAACGTGGAGAAGCTTTTAAATCATCGGATCGGACGGCTTGTTCTCTATACGCACAAAGTTTTAGATCAAAAAGTCCTCCGAGAAGCTGGACCTCTAGAGAAAAAAATCGATGGCTTAGTCAAACTCGAATCCTTTTAAGGCTTTTGATTAGAACATTATGCAATATCTATAAGCAAAGAAACCATTGAAACTGGAAGAGAGTATTTAAAGAGATTTTCTCGTAAGTGATTAGAATGTTCATTCTGTACTTTACAGTGTCCGACTCGGGTCGGGTCACAAAAAAATGACTCATGTCGAACACTGGTACTTTATCTTGTTTATTCAAGACTAATGTTTTGAAATTTTCATCCGATTGTATATTCATTACGTTAAGGCATAGATTTTTTGTTTCAGTCAATGTCTATTCTGGTATCTATGAAATTGAAAGAGAATCAGAGATATATTTGTTTAACTCTAGAGATAGCGCCTGTTGATTCCAAAATGTTTGGGTTTGAATTACACCGAAGATACGAGATATTTTTTATCGATTATTTGTATTCTGCAACTAACACAACCTACTTGGGTCTGTCCCAGATCCGATTCATCTGGGCAATGTGCATTCTTCGTATGAACTTTCGTTCTTGGAAACGATTTTATTTTACTTAGAAAAGTGTTCGGATTCGAAACCAATCCAATGAGTATTTCTTATTAGATATGTGACCCTATAAAATTAAAATATCAGTTTAACCTGATGATATCTTTTGTGAGACATTTAAAATCTTTTTCTTTTTAGACAATGTCATCTTATGGTGATCCTCATGCCGATCTCTATGCTACTGTACATAAAAATCGACCACAACAAGTTCAACCGGCTACATGGGATCAACTTGGACAAGTATCCACATCACCTGATTCTTGGGTATAATAATGTTTTTCCTTTGCTTTTCAATCCAAACAAAAAAAACATGTCAGATTTTAAAACAACAGAACGAAAATCAAAGGATTTTTTTTATTTGTTTGTTTATTCTTAATTATTGTGTGTTGTGCAATGCTCATTTTGAATTACCATCATACGCATATATATATATATCTTCTTTAATAAAATACAATGTATATGGGTAGTAATAATTATGTTTGTGTGTTTGTACGTTTTTTGTTTTTCTTGTCGAGTATCAATTAAGATGTGCGAGTTAATGAACACATCAAATTCTTTTTTTTTCTTTCTTTCTTTCTTATCGATGTATATAGAAAACAAAAGAAGTGTTATTTTCTCTTTACTCAGGTTTTTGTGTGTGCGTGTGTGTTTGTTTATTCTTAATATTCTTTTGTCGTATTTCTCTTTTCTTTTTTATTATTAAAAATAAATCATCGAACAATATATGATTCTTTTAGAAAAGCATGTCTTCATTAAACTTATTATGATAATATCATTTATTACTGGAAATTTTGATTGTTCAAAGTTCGATTAAATTCGAACAATATTAACAATAGTTGGAAATTGTACTGTTTTGACGGAAATAGAAGTTTCCTTGTTTCTAAACTAATATAATACTAAGAATTACTATTTAACTACTGAATACTAAACAAAAAATCAACACCACCAACGAAACCAAAGTGTATATGTGTGTGTATAAAATGCATATATCTAAGAAACAATCTTGCCACTATTATTCAAAAAATTCAATATCATATTAACTAAAATATAATTAATTTACTATAATTCTTACTGTTGTATGTTGTCCAAATTCTATTGGAAGTTGGACAATTGTAGAAATTCAATAGTATTGCCCAAACTCATGTAGCAAAACTCCAATTAACCAAATTTCGATTTACCATGTTTTTTTCTTTGTAAAAATACTTGTTCCTCTTAAATTGACTAATGATTCTATTTGCGCCTTTTGGGGTGTGGGTGTGATTGGTAATTGGATAGACGAAAAAGAAAAAAGCATATTATATAAATCAATAACTGCAAAAGATGAAGATAGAGATAGTCTTCAATTCGATCTCATGCAATGATCCCCTGTTTGGGTACTTTCTTAATTCGATTCCTTTCTAGTTCGATCATAATTCATCAAATTAAAAAGAGTTAATAAGTCGTCAAGTCAAACTTGTTTTTCATTTGGTTGACAAACACAGATTTCAAGATGTGCTCATATTATATGATTTTCTTCACTTGAGTTCTTGTATGAGTTATGTCCACAGTTCAAGCTACTCATCATACGCTGAACTTATGAACAACATCATAGAAATGATGATACTCGGAATGATTAACTCGAACAAAATAATAACAGGTGTTCTACTTAGGACGAAAGAATACTTCTTATCATGGAGGACGTTTAGATATGAGTGTGTATGTATATGGTTTACTGTGGGTATGGTGTTGTTGAAGCTGAAGAGAACACTCACACTTATATCCTATTCAACATGAGTTGTTTAGACTTGGTTGATTCCGCGCGTGGAATTTATATAATAATGCTTTCAAAAAAAATCGAAGAACTGTTGTGTGTTGACTAAACTAATCATTAACATAATGTCCGGTTAAAACTAAATAGGAGTTTTGTTTTTTATCACTCCAAAACTCGGTGGTAATAGCAATATATGTAATTTTTGATAAATTATCCATCATCGATTTGAAATGTACTACATGCAGCCGTTTGATGTTACGTTGTATCGTGTGTCGATAGGGTGGTTTGTATCCTAAAGATGAATGAAGAGTAATTCAGTGTTCAAAAAAATAACGTTCTTCGATCTGAAAGTCACAAATATTGCCGCTCAGAGAACTGTACTAATTATAGAAATATACAGTCTAGTAAAAGGCTCTATGCCGAATCTATATCTAGAGGAAGAAACTTTGAGGTTTATTGCAGATCTATCGAGTTTAAAAAAGATTTTGAACACTCAGATGAATGTTTTATAGATTTAGAAAACCTGTTCAAAGCCTGAAAGATTCTTCCTGGATATAGGCTCGATGGTATATCTATTTTTGAAGAGTGTGCCTCACTATAGTGTCTGTTATATATGCAGAACCACAATTAGCCGAATAATTTTCGTTGTTTTCTATTCATACAAGTGTATTTTTTATATGCTTTGGGAGAAAAGGAGGCAAAGAGAAATCAAATTATGACTACGCCAACTGTGTCATAGATAGTCTCCTGTGGAAACAATTATTTTGGTTTTCGTTTTGTGTTTCTGTGAGAAAAAAATTTTGTTTCCGTTGCTACATTCTCGTTGCCGTAGTGCTTTTAGAATTCCAATTATTACTGAATTTTTTGTGCTTGAGAAAAACTATCATTATGAGGCATTAGCTGTTGTTAACCTTGCATTTTGCGCAACCTATTATGATCTTCAATCATAAAATAAAAATATCGTTGGAGATACATTTTAGTAAAATGAAAAAATTATCATTTAAATGTTAAAATTAATCGACATGGGGAGAATTATTTTCTTCATCAATTGAACGATTGAAAAGAGAAAAAGAAATGGCTGACACATGAACAATACCAAAGAAAAAATGAAATCATTTAAGAAGAAAAGGTAATAATAATGCTATATAAAGAGACAATCTGTAAAATACACCTTTTGAAAATGATAATCACAAAGAAAATAGTAGCTATTACAATTTCACGGCATTATAATGAATAATGAATCAAATTGCTTAATTCTTGTTGATGGGTATGTTTTATTTATTTTTCATTACTAAGTGATGCAAAAGTCTTTGGAAGAATTTCAAAGTCTATTTATCAACAATTTGGCATAATATTAACTTCGATATTTTCTTTAAAGAGCAAAGTTCGGAGCTTGTAGGCATAGAACAAAACAACAGGATTTTGTCTGCAAGGAAGATGGCAAAATATAACAAGGTAGTTTTATCTGCTGATAACAGCTGTGTTATTCACTATACGTGCAAGTATATGACAAGTAGAAAAAAAAGCAAATTAGTTGAAATAAGTCGGGTTTCCAATAAGTGGGAAGTCTTTTGGACAATATTGAATTTATGGATAGTTGTCCTTACCCTTGAATTATTAATTTCTTTTATAACTGCGAACAATGCCAACCAAAGAAGGTATCAGAGAACGGGCGATATTTGGTCTTGCATCGTTATTAATCTATGCATCTTTCGACAATGTGTGTTCATTTTCAATAGATTATTTGAGAGTTATAGTGGTTAACCTTCACACTTTGTCTAAAATAATAGGAAGACCCTTTAGGGTATCTGTCGCAATTTCGAAGTGAAAACAATATTCCTGATCTGAACTTTGGATTTTTTTGAAAGCGGAGTTCAAACTGCAAAAGTGACTCTTCATCATAAAGAGGTTGTATTTCAGAAATTATTAAGAGCGAACACCTCAATTTCAAATCGCATGTGGAGAACACGCGTGCAATACTGACGATAACTAATCTGTATCGATTTATATCGGTTTATATACGTTCATGTCCGATCGGAGTGTACTCGGTTTTTCGAAATTTTGAGTTTGATGTTGTGCCAAAAACTTTTTTTCACAAAAATTTATGTTCTTTCATAAAAAAGTGTTGCTTCACTAAAAAAATCATCTTAGCAAAAAACGTTGTTTTTATAAAAAAAAGAACATTTTTGTAGAAATTTTGATGGACAAAATATTATCTTTTTACTAAGATATGGTTTCTAACAAAAACAACATTTTTTGCTAAGAAAATGATTTCTTATTGGAGCTATAATCTTTTTAATAAAAAAACAAATTGTAAAAGAAATTTCTTGCAAAAAAATCAAACTCAAAATTTTCACTAGTTGATTGCAGATTCAGATTTTTTGACCCTGATTACCAATGGTTCCAATTCACTAGTGAAATCCAAGTCAAATCTAGTCAAATTCAAACCCAAATCCAGTCGAATCTCATGTTTGGATTTGACAGGATTTGGGTTTGATGCACCTCTATCAGCTACTGTTCTTGATTCATGGAAAAGTAGCTCTTTATTCATCCATTGTTGAGCTTGATCAAGTTCAAGCTTTTGATGTTTGAGCTTGATCGAATTCGAGTATGTATATTCGAGTTCGAACTCAACCGAGCTTCGAGCCCGATATATTCGAGCTCAAACAGTTTGGATTTGGTCCATGTCTAATCTTAAATCATTTTTATTATCTTTAAAAAAGAATCTTTTTAACCATTGTAAAATGTTTCAATACTTGTTCAAATAATTATTCAATTTTTTTTAAAATTATTCATCTTTTTAACTTTCAGGAAATTGATGATAGATAAATATATTCTTCATAACATTTGTCGATTCAATGAAATTTTAGGACCGCACAAGCAACGATGGTTTATTCCATGACAAAAGTTCGACTGATCAAATCTCACATAAATCTATATCTAAATTGGCGGCTATACTAAAATTCGTTCAATCTCGGATTGAACTGATCATTTTAGAGCGAATGTTAGATTTGCCAACATCAATCGATCTATGAATAGGAGCATTTATTAGTGAGAATCTATTGAATATTACAACTCATGTATTAATAAACGAAGTTTGTTAATTGAGATAAATTATTTGCATCGGTTTGACTTTATTTTTATTGTTATTTTAAAATTGTTTTGTAGGTAAGTGTACAAAATGTGGTTGTTCATGAAAAGAGCATCACCGTATAACATATAAATATGGAACTAATATTCGCCGTCTTAACAATGTATGCTCATCAAGTGATATTGATAAAGGAATTAGTGATTTAGAAGATGAAAAAACCAAAACAGAAGATATTTATATAAAAAACTTTCAAAAGTTTTTCATGCAAATGTAATTATTCCAATAAATGATGATAGATTAAAACATATTAGAGTTTTTATAAAAGAAGAACAAATGAAAAAAAACTTTTGGCTGTGAAAATAATGATATTATTCAAAACCTTGAACAAATTATAAAAGATTATATGAAAGAAATAAATTTATTTAAACA